ACTATGACTGACAGAGAACAGAATCCTTATGCACTAAAGAAATGACAAAAAAGGCAGTACTTTCAAAATTTACAGGAAATTTGTAATAGCTGATCTGCTCCGCTCTTTCACATCTTTGCATTCTGTAAAATAGAATATATATATATAATATATACACATACACCCCACTTACAGAGGTCTGACACTATTCCTACAAGATGGTGATTAGATACTGAGCTTTCATTTGTCCAAATATTATTTGTTGAAAGGCTCCAAGTCGGATCCCCAGCTGGTGCAGCAGAACAGACAAAATGACTGTACTTCTGCAGGCTACATCAAACCAAGCTGTTGAGGATTTATGCCATTATAACCCAGAAAGCAATGAAGCAAAAATGAACTGGGCCTCAGTGCCTCCTATATTGTAATTCTAAGGCAGACACATATTTTTGGACAGAGCTCTTGAAATTATTAAATTTTTAAAAAATGGGTGTAAAATAGCTTACAGAAATATTTTTGTTGTTATGTATGTGCAAGATCTGCATGGTCTGATACTCTGATTGCCCAAAGCTTAGTTTTTCATTTAGCTGAGGAGCCTGTGTGTTGTCAGTGAAAGCCCTCAACACAAACCCCACTCTGCAGCTCATGACCCCACTCCACTGGTGCTCTTGAAATCAGAGAGATGGTTCCTGCGAGTGATCTTGTGCAGGTTTGTGTGTAAGCGAATGGTGGCCAACAGCTGGAAAAAGTGAAACTGAACACCTCCTGGACAGATGAGGTCGATAAAGGAAGTCTGCGGTGATAAATCCTGGTTTATATTTAGCACTAGCACCGGCAAAATGCTCAGAGATCTTGTGTTGTCGGTGTGCTTTTACCCTGCCCAGGGAAAATCGGCATGAAAAAACAGGGCAGTCCCTGTTAGCTCCCAACTCAGAGGCTGTGCATATTTAACAGTTAACATTTATAAAGCGTTTTGCAAATGAAAATTAAAATGAAGAGCCATATCTCATTATTGTATTTCTAGATTTTTGTTCTCTCCAAGAGACAAGCTTTCTCTGTTTTAGACACATTAGAGATAAGCAGATCCTAGCTAATATAAGTAGTGATAATTTCTTTGTCCTCTCTTCAATCCTTTATCAGCAAAAGTCATTGCTTTTGGCAAAGCCACCTCTGTGATGTTTCCTTTCTCTAGTGAATGCAAGTCCCCCACCTTGAACAAGTTTAGGCAAGGTAGAAATCACATCAGTTTTGCTTTGCTTTGCACGTTTTTCTTTTTTTCTTAATTGTTTATTTTCTTGGGCCGTTTAAAAGCCTTTTGTTTGGGCCTTACAGCTATTTTTCTCATGAAAAGAAATATTTGTTTCCTTCTCCTGTTGGCATCACTTCTCCTTCTCTCTCTTTGTTTTATTTTAACAAGATCCTTTTGACCAAGAAGTTTCAAACCAGCTTGTCACTTCCCCCTTCTGCAGGGCAGTTTCCAGTGGACATGGTCTGGTTTCATGGCTGGAAGCCCCTGAGATGCTCCTCACCTTACCTAGCCCAGCACATCCCATTTTGCTTTTTGTTGCTGGGACAATCTTCTCTTGAGCAATTTCTTGGCAAAGCGCAGCCTCTGTAACATCACTCACCACTCCAACCTCATTGCCAAGGACATGCTGTCTGGAGCTCGGGCTTTCCTTTACAGCTTGTGCTGACACACTCATGGGCTGGAGGAGGCCATGAAATCATTCATCCTCACCATCTGTTTAACAGGCCACATTGCTTCACCACCATTACCCGAACCAAAACGAGAGCCTTGGTGCACTGGGCTGCATTCAACTGTGCTTTCCAGCAGACAAGCACATCTCGAGGAGCACTGGAGCAGGGGCTCAATGTGTGCTTCCATTCTCCATGGCACAGTGTGGTGCTGGACCCAGTTTGGGATGCAGGGGGGCACTGGGAGTTGAAGCTTCTGTCTGGTGACAGTTTAAGGCTGATCAGATGGAGGGAAAAGAGACGTGCTTTTAATGGTTTCTCCAAAATGTGGCTTCCTTGGGACTTCTGATCAAGAAATATCACGTCTGGGGAAGTCATGGCTCTCTTTTTTCCAGTCTGACATCCAGTTCTTCTTTTTTTAAATGTAAATTAAAAAAAAAAAGTTTTCTTTGCAATCCCTTATTGTTGAAATTAATAACAAAATCTCAGGTTTTCTGAAGGCTGCTGCCTACCTGTCACACTGCAGTAGGTTTGAAAAGGGGAGCCCGGTTTCTCTCCATCCTGGAGAACAACAGAAGCTTGTGTTGTACATATTGCAGGCAGCTACAAATCACCTCCCGTTCACACTTTCCCCGTGAATGGGGCTGTGTGCGCATATGGAGAGCAGAACACAATCCTTCTTCTCTGCTCGCTTCATGCTACCAAGAAATCTGCTCCTTTTACAACAATGAAGAGGTGGAATACATTAGGTGCTGCACAGCTCATGTGCTAATTAAAACAACTCTTCCCGTTACTGTTTTTTCACTGGAAGTTAAATGGCATTTGGAAAGCATGTTGAATTAACTCCTTTGAATCCCAAGTCTTATTATATATGGGAAAAGGCATTTAAACAAAATTTGGGGATTTCCTGTCAGACTTGAAGAAGCCCAGTTGTGGAAAAAAGGAAATCACTATTAATCAGCATGGGACTGAAGATTTTAAAGCACATAGCTGAGATCTTGATGATATCCCAAGAAGAACACAATCTAGTTCTGTGGTAAGCGGTACCCAGCCTCACTGATATTGCTCCTGTTCTGCTTCCATCCACTTGCGCTGAATTTGAGGAGAGTGAGACTGTCAGGAACTGCAATCAATGCCTAACAGGATGAGACTACTGGCCCGTATTTTTGACCTACTTTTGAACTTTTTCATCAGAGACAGCACATCTCTTAAGTTATGCATCTGCATAACTATTAGTACCAGAACTAATCCGTTTTCACAAGAAGCTTGAAAAGAGGAGAATGGAGATGCTCTTCTCTACAGTCTGGAGTGACCCAGAAATCAAACTGGACCAGTTTTTCTACTGATTTCTAAAATCGGAAGGAAGATGCTTTAAGAAAAGGACACAGACATTGTGAACCCACGAGATCTATAATTATACAGTGGCATGTGATTGATTACTCCTTGCCTGAAAGCAAAAATTGAGAATTTCAGACCTGTGTATCAGAAAACCTTTCACTGTGCTTTGTCTCTTTTGGTATGTGGCCCAGGTATTAGAAACAAACTTGTTCTTTCTCTAAAGGAGTATGATAATTATTAACACTTTGTGAAGGTCTTTGATACTTCTGAGACATCACTGAAAGGCTACAATTCTTACAAAGTTAAAAATTTAAGAAAGCTGAAAGTTTACCACTTTACTCTGTTTTATTGGTATTGACTTAGGCTCTCCCTACCTTAGGCTCTCTCTGTAGCCCATTTACAGAAAAAAACCAATATAAACCCTGCAAACCCTGGAGTGGAGCTGGCAGAGTAGCCAAGTCATTTTAGAAACACACACTGAAGCACGGGCTAAACCTGAAAACTGGTACTTCAAAGAAGAGAAAATCCAGCATCAGGATTGCATTATGCAAGCTATTTTCTAGATATGCAGAGTTAATTTGCTTGTCAGTGAAAGACAGAGAAAGGACAGAGAAAGGACAGAGAAAGAACAGAGATACACAGTGCCTTGAGGGTCAGAAGTCAAAATGCAGCACTATGATATCAAACTAATGAAAATCTTCTATTTTTATACTTTAGATGATGGCATAGCAATGGAGGCCCTTCTTT